CAGGTCATTTTCACATTCTGATTTGTTGCTTCCTTTTGGATCTAACAGAACAGGAGAATCTCGCGGAGCGAACTAATTCAACGAGTCAGAAGTATAACCGGAGACAAATTACTTGCTCATATCATCAAGGCTTTTGGAAACAAAGTACAACAGTGAAAGAAAACTCCATTTGCAGACCAACTTTGGCTTTGTTTCTCGGACACAATCGCCATTGTTGTATCTGCGGAACTCCTCTCCAGAATCACAAAGGATCAAGACAGAGGAGTCTGATGTTTTTCTTTCCAGGATAGTGACGAAATTTTATTTTTCATGATAGACTATTTTAAGTTCAGTAGGATTAGAGTTTTAACAACATTATTAATGAAGAAACTTGGCAAGATTATAATCTTCTTCTTTCATGTACTTTCAAAATCATTTGGGGAAAAAGACAAATATTAAACCCAAGTTTCACAATATCTCTCCCTCTCATTTGATCTCTCTAACCTTTGACTAAGTCAATGCTGCTGAACAATTTCATGTTTCAAGTTCTTATTCTCTCACGCTGAAACTACCAGTAGAGATAAACTACAAAACTCGCTTTTTATTCGACGCAACAGCAAATCTAAGAGCTTTAGCTTATTTGTTTATTAGTGGATATAGACCACTTTCTTAAGTAGATGGAGGAACTTCCCAACCTTTTGGAACTGGACCATAGTCGTAGATGATCTCTCTGTGGCATGACCATACCAGCTTTATTGCCTCCGGTGTTCCTATCCCGGCTCCTCTCGGGTCACCCGCTGGTCCAAACCTGTGTTAATAATAACATTTAGCCTTCTGCTCTACTATTCTCAAAGACAAAAGAGAGATTGTTTTTTTTTTAACTCTCACCAGTGATTCTGAGGAGCTCCAGTTGTTCTTCCTCTAAGTCCAGCATATGTAGTCCCATTCACCGTGTTCCCTATCACTTCCTGCGCAGATTTATTACATCAATATGAGGGAGAGAGAAAAGAATGATGGTGATGGTGAAAGGCTTTACCTGAATAAAGATGGGATCGTTTGAAACAACAGCTGCAGTTAGATGAGCGTGCATCCTTTCTAAAGCATCCAACACTAGATGAAGTTGATCCTTTTTGTATTTCGTTACAATCTGGATATCGGATTCAAAAGCAATACTAAAGTATTTCAGCAAGATAACTACCACAGATCATGCAGATAGAAAATGAAATTGATATAATGCGGTTTAACCTGAAACGGTCCAAAGATTTCTTTGGTGACAAGTTCGTAGGTTTTACTGTCCTTCAAGATTTCTTTAATGGGAACAAAAACTGCAGTGGGTTCCAAAGCTCCATAGATAGAAGGAATTGAATGGTTCTTCAATGGCTTGCCACCAAAGAGTAGCTTTGAGCCCGGAATCTGAAGCAGATTCTCCATGTGCTCCAACATAGCTTCAGTTGTAAACTTGAAACATAATGAAAGAAATAGGTTTAATGATACAATCTCACAGATTATTAAAAGATGGAGAAACTATGAAACTTACTGTGAGGACAGGACCAATGGTCAAGTCTTCCAGTTTACGTCTTCCGGCAAGCTCTTTTAATTTGGAAACAAGATCGGTTTTTGACCAGTTCTGCTCAGAGTCGTTTCAAAAGAAAGGAAACACATTGAAAACAACAGAAACCAATTAGAAACTGGGAGTAACCAAGGATTCAAAGGCAGGTTCACCATAAAAAAATTAGGATCAAACCAACCTCGTGCATAAAAAGCATAGACTGTGCAGAACACTTCTGTCCACTGCACGCGTACGCATCTTGATCACACACCCACGCAACATAATCAACCTGACATTGGACACCAGGTCAAAGATTACAATCACATCGAAAGAGAGTTATGGAAATATATATAGTAAGTGTATAATAAGAAACCTCCTGAACATCTGGTCCCAAGACTTTCCAATCAAATCCAGCGTCTTCCAATCTGATCCGACCCTTAAGGTCAAGTGCCAACTTTTCGGCAACTCTAGAGCTACCAGTGAAGAGGGTCATCCTTGGATTCGCCTGCAAAAAAATTACAAAATAGGCAAAACGTTGAGTTAGCTCAATCTAAGAAAAACATGTAGAGACAATAGGCTTGTGAATTCTGGAACACAAACCTCTAACAATATCTTGTTCATAGTCTTCCCATCGGAATTGATAAAGTCAACATCTTCAACGGGTAAACCACAATAATGAAGCAATCGCATCATTTGCTCCATTACAATGCTCACCTATCCAAGTAACATTTGAAACAATCATGACAAGGAATATGGATGGTTTTTATATGTGTGCAGAGATATATAAAAACGAAAAGACAAACACAAGAAGAATACAATGTCAAACAGATGAAACCAATGCGATTAGGTTGAATATATCGATGTGAAGAAAAAATTACCTTGCTGTCCACTTTAAGAAGAGGTTTGTTACCCATGTATAAAGCCCCCATCAACTGAAGTAGCGGAATCTCAAGTGGAAAATTGAATGGTGTGACAATCGTTACCTGCATGATAAATCTACAATTTCAAAACAAAGCACAAAACAGAATTGTCACAAGTTACAAGCATCTAGGAAGAATGCCTTACAGGACCATATGGCCAGCGGTAGCCATGGCTTTGCTGCCCAAGATGATTCCCAGGTACTGCAAAAGACCGTGCCAGGAACCGCACCTGATAAAAAAGTAGTGAAGCAGAAACATTAAACAAGCATTCTAAGGATGGAATTTCGGAAATTCAGCCACAGACAAGGAATGTATATATATGCATTTTCGAGAAAGAAAAATTATGGTTGGTAATCCTTCCAAGAATTTATATAGTTGTTCTTGAAACTGATAACCAGGAACCAACATGAAAATAGTGACGAGACTCATGTACCTGATCACCGCAAAAGTTCTCCAAAAACTTTCGTGTGACAAAGACTTCTCCAGCAGCTTGCTGGTAACTCTTTGGAGCAACCCTCTGAATTAACCTCGTGAAGAAATCAGATACCTAATAGTGTATATACAGATACAATAACAAACAACCAGTAGCTCAGAACGCACATTATTCGGGAAACCTGAGTTATGAATTCAAGACTTGAGATTCAAAAAAAAAAAAAGAAAGACATATGTTACCTTAGGTAAGGCGAGCATGTGGGCTGCCTTTGTCGAGATATCTCCATATAAAAGATATCTGTAGAGAACATGACCATAGGTTTAGTATCTTCATAAAAAGAACAAACTGAGAAATAACACAACAAAAAAGAAATGGATAAATTTCATCAAGCTTATAAAAGACAAAGCAAATCATACCTCTCTGGAGATTTGAAAGGGTTATGCAGACCATGTTTCGGGCACTGTGATAAGCTCTCAACAAATGGCTGCAACACAGAACAGAGGAAAGATAAAGTAAGAATTTGGAGCGATACCACGTTGCAGTACGATTAACGCATTTGATGGGCTCGCACCTGAATTCCTGATTCCTCCACTTCAGCAACTTTAATGAAGGGTTCTCCATTCAGAGGATCCAAAAGCGTGTTATAGTTTGACGATCCAATCCACTTTCCCTGAACTATAGACATACACAGGAAAGTAGAGCTCAGAAATTCCACTTTAAAGCAAGAAGCTTTAACTCATTTCCATTGCTTCACACACAATCAGAACCCTATAAAAGCACCAAATTTTAGAGAGAAACAATAATCACTGAGAAGTTAAAACATACCAAAGCTCTGTACTTCAGCAGGATTAGCACCAGATATCTCCTCGGCATCTACGGTAGCAAAAGGTAAAGAATGATTCAATCTGCAAAAACCCATCACACAAAATTTAAGACATCAAATGGTGATCAGAACGAGAATTAAACAAACACATAAGTACCATTCAACCTTTTAATCAACTAAGATGCGGAAACTCGATTAATCTGACAATACCAAATCCAAATCTTAGATTTTTAAAAACACCAACTTGCTAAAAGTTGTCTTTTTTTTATACACTCATAATTAAATCTTTTTGCATATTGAGGCAGAAACATGC